CTTACCGTGTTTCCCCAAAAATAAGACAGAGTCTTATATTAATTTTTGCTCCAAGAAACACATTAGGGCTTATTTTCAGGGGATTTTTTTTCCATGTATAAAAATGTACATTTATTCAAATACAGTCACGTTGTCTTGTTCTGGTTGATGCACAATGGTGGAGGGCGGGTTTTCACTTAACTGGGGCTTATTTTGGGGGTAGGGCTTATATTATCAGCATCCTTAAAAATCAAACTAGGGCTTATTTTCAGGTTAGGGGTTATTTTCAGGGAAATAGGAACTTGCTACACCTACAGGGGTACCACAGTGTGGCAGGCTATATGTCTGTATTGCTATATATACTGTTTAAAAACCACACCTAAAATTTCAGGTACACAGTACCTGTCTAACAAATCTGATGACACTCTGTACTTTCGGCTCTTGTATAACACCTTGACCTAGAAAGATGGCATGAGCATCCATGTGAAGATATATGGACCAGCGTTCAACACCAACAATGGAATACTGGGGGGCCTAGCTTATAACGTATGCACTGCTGCCTTACACAGCTTCAGCTCATTAATATTTGTGCTGAGAGCGAAAAATAAAGAAACCAAGAGAGATAACAAGGAGACTTACAAAACTGGATGAACAATCAGCTCTGGACTATAAGACTTGATCACAGATGCTGCATCTTTGGTACAAAATACATGGGATAGGTCTGCACCCTAAGAAAATTAACATACAGTTATCTATTTACAGCACCAGTGCTAAGCCATTAAATAACTATCACAACTATGTAATATCCTAAAAAAACTTGTTTCATATCAGGTAAGTTCATTCTTCCACCTGAAATCATTCTGTACATTTCTGAACAAAAAATCTATTTCTTGTATTTATTTTTAATATTAGCACCCCAATCTTATACTGTATGTAATTCTTTGGGAATAAATTTCAATTTATAGCAATGAAGCCAATTTGTTAGATTTGCAATAAGTATGACCTCTGTCTATAAAAGCCAGTTTCCAATATTCTGTACAAATCTAGAATAACTGGGCAGTATAGTGGCTATTGCCTGTTAGTAGTTAAACGGTTAGCACCCATAAAAACAGCCATTTAAAGGCACAGTTAGTTGCTGCCTGCATATTCATATTCAAGCCTGACAGATTTTAAATCGTTCTAATCACCCTTAGCATTTTATTGCTAAAAGCCAAAGATGCCCATGGTTCAATAGAGGGTGCATCATATTTTACCACTACATTAACTGGGTCTCTTCCATTTAGCTACTGGATAGCAGCCAGTCCCTTCATGCAAAGTTGGGGGGGGGGGAACCTCCCCCTTTAAGAGCTGTAATTGCAGCAAAATACGGTGCCCCTGTATACCTGGAAAAAGAAAAAAAAAAGTCAACTCAGAGTATATATTTACTCATAATTTGAATAATAAGGACAAAGATAAATCAACCAATTCTTCTATCCTGTGAATTACACACCTTAAAGTAGAAGAAGGAATAATGATACCTCCACAATTCAATGTCAAGTTCATCAGCATGTTTTTCTGATCCCTTAATGTGATAGTTATAGAAAGTTATTAAACTGTGTAAATTCCTTAACTTGCTTCCACTGATGATACTCTGACTTGCTATAAATTTATCTAGGGTAAGAAATCTAAGATAATGCACACAGACAAATGTTAGAACTGCAGTTTTAGCTATCTTGTGGTAAACATGATCCAACAACTGATATTAACCCGCTGATGTGGGAAGTGACAAAAATGCTCTAGTTCTGTTCTGAGGGAAGATAAAGGCATACTCATTAATTAAGTTAAAGGCTCTTTCAGATTCATGAATAATTATGCAATATCAAATGTTAAAATAATAAGTCATTGTTAACTAGACAGAAGAAACAGATGTGAGCCATCAGATTTCAAATGTGGTGCTCCACACCTATCTGGCCTATATTATGGTTGAGATCCTTTTTCAGCACAGATGAAGTAGAGACATTTACTGCTCTATATATTGAAGTATGTTGATGTAACTTCCAAAAATCCAACATTTACTTTCCAAGGAGATAGTGAAATGTTAAAAGCTTAAAAATATAACATTCTTAAGACTCCTAAGTCCATAAAGAACAGCCTCTGAAGTCACACATTCTTTGTTAAAGATATTCAAGGATATGTGCACAGGTGATTCATATTCTTCATCACCAACCCAAATATTGTGACCTGTTATACAAATGAAATGCTCTGTTATTTCATATACTCTATTTTCTATGTTACTGTTTCAAATATGTTAATCTAGTTAGACCACAGGTGGGCGATCTCAGAGGATGAGGGTGTTGAATTACTATCCTCAAACCTACTAGGAAAAAAACAACACTCTAGTTCTACCACCATCCGAAAGCCTCTGAAATGTTCCCTTCTCCACTACTGCAAAAAGTGGTGGTAAGAAAAGAGCACTTTTTACAGATAGAAATTAGAATTTATTCTTTGAAACAACCATATTAGCTGTTGAGGACTAATGCTTAAGTATCTTACAGAAGGGTACAGAAAAATAAAACAATATGATACAATCCACAAGAGCATGCACACAGTGTATACCGAAAGAGCCATGTGCCACTGAACCCGTGAGTGAGAGTAAAATGAAAGAAGAGGCTATTCTGCCATGTAAAATCTTACTTAGCCACCTCCTCATTGTTAAGAGATTTTCAGAGTTTCAGGCATGTGTTTCCATTCCTAAGGGCTACAAACACATTCTTCTAATGAAAGCTGAGATGCCTGGGAAGCTGAATTCCACAGGTAATTGCACATTCACCCCCTCACCTTTCTGCGGTCTTAAGAGAATATGGCATGCATACACAAACATAACCTCAGCATTCTCTTCCTTAGTAATTAACAGGCATATCACTTGTCATAAGTACTAACATTTTCCATAATAAGTTATGGCATCACAAAAGACAAGTTTTTAACTTGACTATTAGCCAGTGAGTGTGTGTTTGTATGTTGCCTCAGGCCTTTCTAAGCAATTTATATATCAAATTTATAAATAAGCACTCAACTAGTGAAGCATAAGAACAGCTCTTAGACAACCAGGCAGAGAAGAGTGGCTCCTAATGTTTGGGAAAAAATGCCTCTCTTTTTTTTTTTTTGCAAACTCTCAAGGTGCAAAGGGGGAATAACAAAGATATGATTAAGAAACAAAACTAGTAAAACATGCTACAATTTAATAGTATTTTTGACTTGTTTTCAAAGCCAATGATGCAACATTTCCACTTACTCTTGGCATCCTCCAACAATTCCTATTCTTCCATCTTGGCCTTTATGTTTTTTGGCAGTTAGAGGGGGAATAACATTCCGCACCAACTGAAATATATTCTCCATTTCCTTTATAGAATGTGTTTTGTGCACTGAAAAAGATCTCTCTATAACTAAAAAAGAAAAAGACATTTAATTAATTAGTTACTTCAACTATTAACTTTTCAGGTGCTAAATATACTCATGCATAACATGACTCTGGATAGGCTTCCAAGAAATGTAAATATTAAAGACCCTTGTTTGGATCCTCAACTCTACAATCTGATTTGCATTTCAAAACAAGCCAAAATTTGGCAGAGTCTATTACTCAAGAGCAGTATCAATAGGGAATGGCCAACTTGGTCCTGCTTACTGTAAGAGCAGGTAAACCAATCAGAAGTTCAGTTCATAGGCTGTTTAGTGTAACGTCCAAACATCAAGGACCCAGACTGCTCCCTTGTATCTTTCTCTACAATCCAGACAAGAATCTACTGTTTGCTTTTATGCTTCTTTGGGAGAAACAGGACACAATACTGGCTCCTGATATTAAACAAAGCATGGACTAAAGGTTCACAGTTTATCTCCTCCTGTTCTAGGTAGGAACAAGTAACTCATCCTCAATAAGCCAGATTTTTTTTAAAAAAAATTCTGACTTGCAATGACATTTGAACTTATGTTGTATGGCCACTGCTACAACTCACATAATCTCACTTATATGACTAAGAGTTCTTGAGTAAACAACATATTTGTCTTTACTGGACTGATGGTTAAACCATGCTTTGCACTGTCATTACCTAAGCAAGCAGAGCTGTACTAATATTTCTGACGCTCTCAAGACAACAGGCTCTGGAGTTCTGCACCAAGATATCAATTTCCCATGCTACCCAAACAGGAACTGTCACAGGTTTCTGGAAACATAATCAGCATTCTATGGAAATGTATACACTGCTAGCTTCCTTTTCTGCCTGTACAGAACCAGACATCCAGACTTTACAGCTTGTGCCCATGGTTCAGTCCATCTCTCTGGTGAGTTAGTAGCAGTACATGCTGATGCCAGCTGAAAATCCAAAGAAACCAGTCCCACCATTTATTTGCCCGTGCATTTCAGATGTACATCCCACTCAGTTAACTGCAGCTTGCTCCAAGCAAATGGATATGCTGCAGCAGCATGTACTTTCTCCCCCTTTCCTATTCATCCAGCTTCATTTGCTGAAAGCCAACTTTCACACCAGGATGTAATTAACTCTCACAACTGAAAGAAGAACACAAAACAGGGAGACCCTCTGCTATCAACAAGCATGGATTAGTCTTGGCAACTTATATATTTAACTGCAAATCACAAGAATAAAATTTTATTGGATCATATATACTACTTTAGAAGAAAAATGTAACAAAACACTGATGTGATTATGATTACTAAGGCCTTTACAAAAGCACTGGCTTTTTAGATACAAATTAATATGAGTTCAATTACCAAACATGAATGAATTCAAGATATGAAACAAAAATTAGTCTTCCATATTTTTGCAGTTTTGACAGTTACACTGTAATGAACGTTTAAAGGTTAGCAAACTATTATTCTTCATGAGTGTTCCTGCTAAACCACAGGTTACATACTTTTTAAGCAGCCAGTTCAATCATGCCTAGTAATCACAATCAGAGAAACCTGATAAAGACAGTAAAATATTCAAGGGGATTGATGGAGAAGGATAACACATACATACAAATTCCCAGTGGTTAAATTATTAGTAAGAACTGATATAACAATTTCCCTAAACACACATCTTAATACTTACTGGCAAAGAGACTTTACAGACAGCAGCAGCCTATCCTTCATATTGGAAATCTTTCTTTACTAAGTCTTTTCCCTTTCTGATACTGTATACAATTCAAATCTAGTATTAGAATCCGATGACATTACATAACTTCAAACTAGATTAGGAACCCCAGGGCAGTTTATTTCAGTTGCAGTCATTTTACTATTTGTCCAAAATCTCTTATAGCAATAGTCCTGGTGAATCAGAAGAGTATCCCTCATTAAGCCCCTCCCAGATCATCTAATGTGCCTAGCACCAGTGGCAAAACTCTGTTAATAGATTCAATTTTTTCAGTACAACCACAGAACCAAAACCTTGTTCACTTAAAAAAAAAGAAAAAGAAAAAGATTTGCCCAAGAAAGAACAGATTTTACAGAGAATGTTTTGTTGGAAACTGTAGGCCACGATTTGACAAATTCAGAATTATGCATATGCCAAGACAAATGGTTGAGATACTTGAACTTTTAGAATGATCCGAAAAACAAACAGCCCACTCTGCTATTATTATTCTCCTGTAGGAAGTACACAACTGATGCACTATAACCATATATTCATTTCTATTTTCTAAAGTATTTCTGGCTCCTTATTCTACTCTAGTGTGGGTTTTTTTTATCACCTAATCAGAAGAAGCATTCTGGCAGCTTGTACGCTATTGCAGAACTGTAGTTGGTCCCAGTAATGCTACTGACCACCTCTGGATTCTGTATTTTGTCTTAGTCTTACACCTTCATTTTTGTTAATAGGTTTTTTAATAGTATGTTCTCAAAACATGGACAAATTATAATTCAAATGTCCATATTTCACAATACAGATTGGACTACTGTACATGATTGGGAAGTCAGTTTAACAACATCCACTCTAGGTCCAAAGCAAACTCCAACATACCTAGAGTAATATACTAAGCAGCACACTTTACTTATACTGGGCACTTTTACTTTATGTACAGAACACTGTCACACTCAGGGTACACAGTCAAACACTGAGAAGAGAATGACTACCACGTTTACTCAATGTATGCTTATTTTGCAAAATCCGCTCCAGTAACTACTCCAGATTATCCATTTGCAACATAGTCTTATTAGTCTCATTTATTAGTAAATACGTATAGGATTTACAACAGGGCCTACATTTAAACACAAACTGGCTTCCATGAAATACACATATCAGAATCATATTGGTATTTGCATACATTTGTGTACTCTAAATGCAGCAAATAGACAAGGTGTCAGGATTTGTCTACACTGAACTGCACAACCAAGATGCACCCTGGCACCTCACTATACAAACTTTACAACTCCAATATGATTCTGGTCATATAATTGGTCTAAATCCTATTATGTCCAGTCCTAAAGAGCATTAGCAGATTTCACATGGAGGTATATATGGGGGTTGTGCTGGAAGATTCCTTGCAGCCTATATGTTATTCCAAGGAACCATGAAACACCAAAATAAGAAATAGTAACTTGTGCACTGCAACTTACCACCATCAGCAATATATAGCTGACAGAAATAAAAAACATAATAAGCACAAACAATTTGGATGAACTGTCAACTGATCCAAACAGGATCTGCCCACACTCTACACAAATGTAAAGAATGCCTTAATGTAAGAAATGTCTGTGATATACCAGAATTCCACAAGAACTGTGATCATATGAAACACATACCTGGAAGTTCAAACTCCACTTCCTTCAGATGAAAATTAAAGCAGACCTACTAGCACAGAAGTGTGGTATAAAACCTATTATATCTCTTAAGGCAACCTCAGAACCACCTTTTTAACTGTGTTGAGCACATGTCTACTAACCAGGAAATGTTTTTACTTCTAGATCAACACCTGACACACTTACAAAAAAGGATGAGTTCATAAATGTAAAGTGAAGAAGATTGAAGATATAACAGAAATGAGTGGCATGAAAATTCCAAGGGAAGAGTACGACCCAAGATTTTGGAAGTTTAGTTTCAAGAGTGCCTCCATCTGGTCTGAATTCATGATCAGCCAAGAAGCAATTGCCTAGAAGATTTAATCTAATCTACAGTAAAACAGCAAACTCATGTAGGAAGTAGAAGATTAGGTGAAAATTATGTAAATGCTCTAATCTTCTAATTACCATTTAGCATAATTACTCATACATTATGCATTTTTACCATCCTTTACAGCTGTCTATATAGATTATGTTATCACAGTAAATACCCCACAACAATCACAACAGATCATATTACATCTTTTAAAAAAACAATGTGAGCTATATAAATTAGGTAAATTAATATGATCTGTCCCATAAGATTTCTGTGAAAGAGCATAGGACCATGTGTCTAAGCAGGCCCAATGTGTTAACTCACTTCATAAACATATTCCAGAACTTCCCAATAACTATTTCACTGATTTTTACAGAGTTTCAATACCAAAGTGCACACAAATCTTAAATACCAGACCCAAACATCATGTATGCATCATTTATGTGAAAGAATGCAGTACCTATGGGAGGCGACAGTGGTGTAGTCATAGAGTTATAGTTAAAATTCTCTCCATAGGCTCGGTGATTTGATCTCTGTGAAGGATTACTTGGTATACTTTGCGACCTTTGTGACACTGTGGAAGAAATTCCTGCTAGCATCTGTCCTAACATCTGCAACATCTGGAGCTCCCTAGCATGCTCTGCTTCACGTCGCTTGTCTTCAATTTTAAGCCGCTGCTCTTCATATTTGTAAAACCTTTCTTCAGTATCCATGCTTTGTTGCAGAAACTTCTCCATCATTTTGTCCAGTGTTAAATTTGCATGGCGCTTTTTTGATCTTTTAGCCTGAGATAATAAGGGTGGTGCATTGGTGTGAGCATTAATTTGTTTAAAACCTATCAAAAAAAGTGGATAGGTTAGTTGTTCACATTTTGAATATACTCAGAATAAGATATACAATGGAAAGCTTTTCTATAACTCCGTATTAACTTTATCATAGCATAACGGAGCTGGAATGGGCTTATAAAGCCATCAAGTCCAACACCTTGCTCAATGCAAGAATCCTAGGATCAGCTCACCATATATTTATATATGCTTATCAAGAACTGGTTGGATCACTCAGTAAGTTAGGTATCTGGCTGTGGAGCCTCAGTTTAGGAATTCAATTACCCACTGTGCCTCCCAGAAGAAGGGCTAGCCTGTGTGGCCTTAGGCAAGCTGCAAAATTTTACAATGCCTTCAGAAGCAGGGATTAATATATTCTATATGCAGGAAACCTGAAAAGGGTGGCTGAAAGTTAGAACTGACATGAGGGCACATAATATTAATTTCAAGAATCAGTGTACAGTACTGCAGTGAAGAATGTTGCACGAGGCCTTAAGAGACCTAAGTTCAAATAGCCCCTTGGCCCTGGAAACTTCCAGGGTAGGTGGCAACAATAAACCACTCCTTAAATATCTCAGTTGCCTTGAAAATCCTATCAGGGTCATTGTTGAGTCAGATGTGACTTGACAACACTTTAATAACATTATTTTAGAACAGTATCTCTGTTCTACTCATGTACCCTTCACAGTACTGCCTAAATGTATAAGAGATATTTAAAATATGACATCTCTCCAAGATTAAATTTTTTTAATAATCTGAAAAAATATTGTTCAATCAATTTGGATGCAACCTTTAACACATTTACTAGGGATTAAACTACACTGAATATGGTAGGACATATATGTGAACATGCAAAGAAGTCCACAATTAGCATACTTTTAAAAAAATCAAAAGCTTTAGTTATTTAGATTACATTTTAACAGATATTTGTGTATTGCAGATAATTGCCTTATCTCTACTTTTAATCACCTGCTCTGAATTTGCATTATAAAGGACGTAACTGTTAACCTTTCCCCTTTGATGTTATTTGCATGCAAAAAAAGTTTAGTTTAAGAATTAGTAACTGGCTTAAAGACATCAGCTATTGAAGCTAAATTTATATGGTGTGAAAACACACAGGTGTCTTAGTCACATCCAAATCATTAATACAATATATTATATAAATATTTTAAAAAACTAAAGTAAAAAGGTAATTTTTACTTTGCATAAAGTCTACACTTTTTTGCTCCTGAAGTTTACTTGTAGAAGTCTTATCTACCTGTAGACATTAAAACTTTTATCTTAAAACTTTTTGCTCCTTTCAGCAATTATTGGATGAGCCGCAGGGCCTTTTGTTGGCATGAGGGAATCCCAATAAACTGTGGAGACAGATTAAGTCGCTAATGTTTCACAGCATTTTCTGACTTTCTGTCTTCGGTAGGGGGCCCCCAAAAGATGCTCCCCGATTCCAATTGGGAAGAAAATGGTGATGGTGGTAGTGGCAGGTTACTTGTAAGATTTTATAAAATTAGATGTATTTCTAATGTAATTCTGAGGAGATGTATTTCCTCCCAGTTTGCACAGGCAGAGCTCAATAGGAGGGGACGGGGTATTTCCTAGTAGTAGTCTAGTTGCAGAGAGGGAGCACACACAACTCGCCGCCTCGTCTTTTCCGCTCACCTTCCGCCGGCGGCAAAGGGATGGCGAAGGGGGGACACTCCACTTTGATGGCGTGCTCGGCGTAGGAGGAGCACTCCCCGGAGTCCTCGTGGAAGGGGTCCCGCGGGGGAGACTCCAGCTCGCCGCCGCCGTCCTCGTCGTCTTCCTCCTCCTCCTCTTCCTCCTCCTCCGCGTCGCCTCCACGGCAGTTGCGAAGGCTCCCGGGCCCGGCAGAAGAAGGGGGC